AGGAAAAGGTCCGACCGCAATGTTCTATGGAATGTCCACGAGATCAATCCTTTGTTTCCTCAGCTAGTACCCAGAATGAGGATATGAAGTATTGAGATCGCAGACTCTCTACCATCGTTTTTATTGTCCCTTTGGTCCAAGCCCGCATCTCGGATAACAGATATGATTTAATAAAGCATAGATTTAACGTTTACGAATGTCCTTAAAAAAACGAGATGTTTGTTGATAAAACGGGGCTGAACGCTTTTAAGGAGCGTCCAAGGGGTGCTTATTCCTGAAGATTGAACATACGAAAACATTTTTTGAGAACCTTTTGAATGCCCTCGAGAGCGTCCATGTGCTACTTGGAAATGTCATGAGTATGAAGCCTGCAGGTCTCATCTGACTAGTGATTATCTCTAGCACCCCAGAATGTAGATGGATCATTGTGTCAAGAAAGATGAGAAGAAAGAATTCCGCAAAATCTTAGAAGCAAAAGGCAATTCATCACTGAGCGCGCTGGGTTCATTTGTAAAAAAAAGTCACACATTCTACATGTTTGAAAGCGTCATACTACATGAAGCACACCTTCCAGTCATAGCAAGTGTTTCCTCTTGCAATCTGCAGCTCACCTCAGACTGCGAACAGAGGCGAGACCGCCTTTACTATGGGTATAAGACCTGTCACGTGGGAAGTACCCATCTGGGAAACATCTACCACTAGCTTTGTGCATCAGATAAAGAATTGCTGTCCAACAGGATTTCGATGCTCGTCAAACTTGTGACTATCAGGTATTCAACTTATGCCGGTATTCGCCACATGATATAAAATATATGTTACATGTAAAAAAATAGCATGCGCAATATTTTAAAAGGAGAAAAAATAACTAGTGAAGAGCATCAATTCATCGATATGCCTGCGGTCGATTCGCCACATATGGCGAGTGGCGAACGTATTGCACGCCAAGGAGGTGGAGGAAGACTGGAAGCATGTAGCAAACAGTATAACATCTTGCAAGTCGCCTTTCCTTAGCTGCAAGCTCCCATCTTCCAAAGGTGATATTTTGAATTTTTGCTACTTCAAATGCGACTGCGATACAAAAAACAATAAAATCTATATAACTCTCACTCTCATTTGGCTTCTTTGCGTCATTCATGAGAGCTTTGAAAGGACTGAAAGATATATAATCAGTGAAAAAAGTGCACGTCATTCTGCAATTCTGAAATTCTGCATTTTGAAAGATGGACCCCCACACGTTTTAGTTCCTTGAAAACTATGATTGCATTATTCCATGCAGAAGGAACTGGGTCAGGAGAATTCCATGGATTCGTTTGCTCACCTGCAGTCAGCTGCAGATCTTCTACAAAGACCAATCATAATCATTGGGGATATTTTTTGTGAGTACTCCATGTTGTGCACTCCATTCTACTTCCTTTAGAGATAATACCCAAAAACAAATCTAAGGGGAAACAATGGTAGCACAGATAATAAGCTGTCATTTGTGACTTGCCAGGTACTGTTCTTAACAATGCACCTGACATACCAAGCCCTCAAGAAATAAATGCCATCCTCCTCTTCAACGTGGTCAAAAATGGATTCTTTCCCCTGGTACCACGTCTCGACCGTCTCGACCGTCTCGACCCTCTCGGCCTTCTCGACGCTCTCGACCCTCTCGGCCTTCTCGACCGTCTCGACCGCCTCGACCCTCTCGGCCGTCTCGACCCGCTCGGCCTTCTCAACCGTCTCGATCCTCTCGGCCTTCTCGACCCTCTCGGCCTTCTCGGCCGTCTCGACCCTCTCGGACTTCTCGGTCGTCTCGGCCTTCTCGGCCGTCTCGGTGAGGACGACCCGAGGACAATTTAAAAACTCTAAAGTTCTGGGAAAAATATTTCTCCAGGTATTTCATCATTTCGAGTGGCTCCCAGTACATAATAGACACCCAGGGAAAATATTGGCATACAATTTTTGTCTGAATCATTGTAAGCATTCTGCAAATTCCACTGTATATCCAAGTATGGAGGTCTTTCTAAAATCAGAATTATTCATTAAACTAAAAAATACGTATTTATTAAATTCAGCAAAAGCTTTGGATGTATGGATTAAGAATGTATGATATGCAAAAGTATAGTGCACATTTTTAAAGATACATTTCAGATGTTGAGGTATAATTCAATTTCAAACATACGATTCAATTTTTATTGAAATTGAGGCTGTCTATATTTCACTCTTCTAAAATCTGGTGAAATCATATATGTTCTAATGAAAAACTCATTCAAAAACAATTCAATTGTATTCAACCTACCCTAATCCAGAATAATACCTACTTCAGAAACCCTTCAGATTTGAGCACTATGTGAAGGAGACCCATTCAAATGACATGATGCATTGAATTATGGGGGAACATTATATTGGGCATCATTCTTTTTATTGTAGGAAAAGGATGCTTTATTTCAGATGCCATGTATCACATTTAGCAAGAACTCATGGAATTTGCATTTTGCTCATAGTAAATTGTAACTGCGACTCTTAATGGACCTTGTATTAATGAAAACATGGAAAGATTTATTTAATGAAAGTTCAATTGGGATTACAATAGGAAAAAAATGCTCAAAACCTGAAACAAAATCCTCACAATGCATGAATACAATATGCTCGATGTCAATCACACGAAGAAGCTTCCCTAGGACGGTTTCATGTCTCCATAGCCCTGGAAATAGAAAACTGGAAAATTCAATATCCACATTTTCATTTGTATTGCTGGTTGAGGGTGTTTTGATTTGTTTTGCAGCAGTAAGTGCAATAAATGTATGAACTGTAAAAGAAAAGCAGAACCTAGGTGAACTGGTGCACTCACATTCTTAGCTAGTCTGATCTTTCTTAGCTCATGGATAGACAATACTGAGAATTATGTGACAGTTGCGTACTTGGAAGATTTTACTACCAATCAAGCTTGGCTTCCAAAACGGAAGAAAAATCTACCATCATTCTTCCTTCCCAAAAGATGCACAGTTCAATCAAATGTTCAAGAATATTAGTTGAGCTAAAACAATAAGCACATTAGGAAAAACATTGAGGATTAAATAGACTGATGAAAAAGGAATGGAACCTTGGATATGTTACTTGTCGAAATCATTGGTCATTAAGCGGACGGCAACTATGCTCATTTTGGAAATAATTTCAGGTCTTTTGTTTAAGGAACTCCATTGGTGATAAAAATAAGGTGCCATGGTCAGTAACTTTTGGCGGATTTTTCTGGAGTGCCAGCGCTGGAGTAAAGGGCAAAGATGAAGCTCTGAAAAGCGTTCACTGAGACTCTCACACATTCTGCAAAACATGAAGGCACAGATATGTGCAGCAAGTTCATGCAGTATTTTCATTTGCTTTGCCCTCCAGCACTGACATTCCAGTGAAATCTGCTGAAACTTACAGACCATTTCTTTTTACTGGAAACTGAGTTTCTTGAACAAAAGACCACATAATTATTTTCCCAAAGAATTGAAGTGAATATTGTTGAAGGCTACCTAGTGGCCAATGATTTCGACGAATAATATTTCAGTTACAGCCAGTAAGATCCGTTCCTTTTTAATCAGCTTAGAATTGGAAAATGAATCATGACACTAGGTGCTTCAATGCGATTAGGCAGCAAGAGAGTGAATTCTATATGAAAAAAAACATTTTTGCTAATGTTATTTGAACTTAAACAGGTTTGTAAATGAAATTTTAAAAATTTAGACAGAAAAACAGGAATTCCAGTAAAACAATCCAAGTATCAAGGCGTAATCATATTGCTTCACCTTATCCCTCTATCACTTTTATGAAGCGAAGTCCTATTCCTACTTCAACCTAGTTTCATATGGAAAACATATGATTTATTATTGGGTTACCAATTGTTCCTGATTTCCAACCCAACATGGAAATACTCAATCAGAAGAATACCATTACGCCAGGCATCATTATCTATATATTAACCCAAGCAATTTTCTAATAGGTCAAATTGAGCTGAACTTCATTTTGTGCCAACAATAAGGTGGGCTCGAGAAAAGAGCAGAAAGAAAGAAAATAAGAAGTAAGAAACTCACTTGCTATATTGCGTTCTTGTAAGCCCGAAGATGCAAGATGTCAAGAATGGAGAAGGGGAGAAGTTCGTCAACAGAACGCGCCAAGACTAGGAACGAATTGGGAGCCGATATGTAGTCACTTTTAAGCCCCAGGCGTGTACGACAGGGATAGGGGAAGCAGCTGGTACGTGCGTGACGTATTTTGGGGGCGGGACAAGACAATGGCTTCTTTTTCCGGGCGGAAACATGTTGGACACTAGTAAAATGGAGGTCTGTAAGAGTAGAGTTCAGAACATAAGACGAGATGAGATTGCTTTTCACCTAAAAAAAAATACTGATTTGATAGTGGGTATATGGTACATGAATAAAGTCTTCGATCATTGCTGAACCTGCCCAGTAAGGACTGAATGTAAAGCAATAACGCAAGTAAATTATCGGGGATCGATGAGTGATAAGGACGAGTCCTCCTCCATCAATATGCCTGCTCTGTCACACAGTGAAAGCATCACATTTGCATTGATTCCTCTCCCAGTCATTCACTGTCACCTTAGCACTGACCGCTTCTTGTTCTTCCCCTCCCCTTTGTTACTCCACAGGAGGTATGAAGGGACTGTCAATCAAGAGCTTTCGAGGGTAGGCTTGGAGCCCCTTTGATGGATTTTCTCAGCGCGTCACCTGTCACATCAGCTTATACGCCCCCTCCCCGAAGATAATTGCAGACGATTTAGCTTCCTTGTGTCATAGCTTTTGCACTCACCTACTCCTTCGTTATGAAAAACAGTGCAAACGAGATGGAATAATATTCTACATTAGCTTGGATTGAATATTAAGTAATTAGTAAATCCTTTCGCCAAGTTCTCTCCTTTCGTTTGTCGGGTATTGAAAAACTTGCCTTCCGCAGGCTTATAATTATGTTATTGGAATATTTCTTCCCCTGATTATCTATTTGGGATATTGCATACAGTTTGTCATAATCAAGCCCTCAACCCTTTCCCTCCCTCTCCTCTAAATGTCATTCATGTCTACACCCTAAGGGCGGGTTCAGTGGCGTCCTGCTCCAAGCGGTGTGGGGGGGGCCAGCCACCACGACCTAAGATATAGATCCTCCGCCCACACACACACACACTACGCTTAGCGTCCAAATCCCCCTTTGTGGCCCCTTTTAAAGCTCTGTTTGGTCTCCTGCAGGGCCTGACAGGCTTTTGACAGGTTTCTGAGAAATGGCACCCATTATGGATCCATGCCGACTGTTCCTTTCTGGGTATGAACATACTGTATTTGTGTAAAACAATGGGGCAGGCCGCAGGCTGGATCCGGCAAATCGGTACATTTGGTCCAAACCGCGAATTCCTCTGCAGCAGTTGGTTACAGAAAAGTGTTGCAAATTTAATCCTGTTTTGCATAAAAGATTTTGTGTTAAGTTTTTAGTGTTACCCGTAATCACACCTGAAGTCTTCCGTACGACCACCAGCCTAATCGATTTTGAGAACCCTGCCGTAAACTAAGGATGGGAAATATTTCGGGTATTCGAAAAAAATTGCCCCAGACAAAAGGGGCAGACATTTTTGTCCCAAATGAGAAATAGGACTAAGTGGTCCCTGCACTGAAAATATACGATGACGGTTCATCAAGAATTATCGATAATTTTAATAATTGCATCATCTACTCATAACTACACTCTAAAATTAAGTCCTTTACTTTTTTATCTTGAAACTTGAATGCATTGAAGGCTATGATTCCAGATATTTATTTTCATCGTACCATCATACGCTATAAAAATACTAAAGGTTCACTACCTTCTCGTTCGCTTTCCCCTATCTCGCCCATCCTCCCCTCCAAATTCCAATTTCCTATTCTTCCCTATGCTAAGAAATGTGTATTCCCTCTCAAGTCTCTTTTCTTGTCCTTTATAATTCTTTGACTTAGTACCCACTTCTTCCCCCCCCCCTTACATTCACCCACCTTCGCCCATCTCCGCTCACCTGTCCACCCCCTCCGCCTGTCAATCTGACTTAGTCTATCCTATTACTTTAAAAACTAGCTGGTACTCGTAAAACAATCACGTCTTCGTATTTAAGGTTAATGGATTTCTGTTTCAAAAAATTTTAATTTAAATTAACACAGCTGGAATTTTCAACGGCCATATTTCGAAACAATAATATTTCGTGACCCCGCCATTTTCCCCCGACCCTCCCTTAAACTAATCCCGGAATTATCTAATGTACCATAATACGGGTTTGGTTCTATAACATTCAAATGAGCCAATTTTACGTATTCAAAATTTTCGTGTATCAGACGAAGGAGGAAAGATGCTTCCCATCCTCTTAGATCTCAAATTTCCCATTTTTGTTCCTGAGTTTAATCTCTATTGGACTGACCCGACTAGCGGATCGCGCCAGCAGCTCGTTCCGGAATCGAGTTTCCTGTTCCATCGAGCATGCGAATACGTGTCAAAATGATTTTTTTTTGCAAAAAATGCAACGCTTAGGAGGACGAATCCGGAGACCCAGAGTTCTAAACTCCGAGACCTTAGTAAGCTGTGGGTTCGCGCGATCGGCTCGACACGACCACGGGGGGGGGGTCTGTTAAGTTTTATCCGGCGATGGAGATCGGGTCGGTTTCGAAAAAGTTCACCCAAGGGAGTCTCAGGCGGACAGACAGGAAGACGTAACCTGTGAAATATTCACGTCTGATTATGGCACTTGCAATTTTGTTGAATAGCATTCAAATGAGTCATTTAGCACGATTCTTTCAACCGCCAAATTTGGGGTCTTTAATAAAGAGATGGAGCATGAGATTATTCCGTCATCAGAGGCCATCAATTGATTGAATCCAAAAAGAAACCCCAGCCCCTGTACCTATAAATAAATAATTTATGGAGTTCCCCCTGTCGGAGTGAGACCAGTCTCTCTCGAATGCGAGGGATGATTTCGAGCACTGCTGGGAGTGGGGATGAGCTCTATCAGGCTTACCCAACCGGCATATCGGTTTGCAATGGAGTTTTATGTTGGGTGCAGGCGAATACGCTAGAATGCACTCGAAGGAGTCTTTTCCTCGAACCGTTTACTACTGCTGGCAATAAAGACGCCTCGTTCCGTCAGCGCTCCATGCGATGACGTCGTTAAATGACGTCACTCTCGCTCAAGGAACTACCAGTGGACGTAGTGATCTATGAGAGCACGGAACAGGCCAGCACCAATGTGACGTCATGGGACGTCGAGTGGAAGCCTCAGCCGAGTCAGTAGAGCTATTCAGAAAAAAGACGAAACCAGAGACAGTTCCGAAGTTAACACGGTGGCGACAATGCGTCCTGATGTCAGGATGCAGATTTTTTTTCAATGAATACCCTCTGGAACTGTTGAGAACATTCCAGAAGATTATGATTTCGTAATTTTATATATACATGCATATCAGGAAATGAAACACATTCACTTGTCGATGTTGAGACACATTCACGCAGTGATGTGGCTGATTATCACCCATGCTTTAAATATTTTAAGGGTGAATTGCCACTAATTATTCAAGTAACATATTACTGATTTTTCGTTTCCATTTATAATAAAACGATGGAAGATACAAAGTATCTCTCGATTGGAAGCACTTCTTTGAATCGATTAAAAAAATTATTTTCCTGCTTTCATTATGAAGGGAAGAAGGATTCTGCTCAACTATGAGCATGGACTCATCTCGGTGCAATGCTTGAACGGACTTCTGGGGAGGGGCTCATTTTTGATCGACTACACTATGAAAAAAAAAATCAAGCTTCCGCACATTGCTTGCAAGCGGATAGTACGGCAAATCCCCGACGGGAAATTTGTTGATTGTGGCCGTGTTGTAGGATGTCATGATTGCATTCTCTTCCTTTTACATGTTCTCAAATAATAATTGTTCGAAGGCAGGGATGTCAAACTGGAATTGGTCGAGGGCAGGAGAGGTTGGTGGAGGGGTGTTTGGGGGCCCCATGAACTCATCTCACACCATATTTTTAATGCGGGAAACTTGAAATTCGCAGCAATTTCCCGAAGGCTATTGTTGATGAGGATTTCTTGGGCCGGATGAAAGGGGACAGATTAGCCTCTCATGTGCATTATATGGATAACCCATATATTGTATATAAATGAAATGTTAAAGCCGGGTCCGGAGGTCGAACATATAGCGTGCGTGATCCTGACCGCTAGCTAGGCTGAGGACAATATTATGTTTGCGCGCGTGTGACAGTCCTAAAGGTCAAACGCTTCGAGTTGTGAACATGGAATTTTAACAAAAATCTTCCGTATCAACTGATGAAGAACCTTTAAGAAATGAAATTCGAAACTCGATCTAACGAAAGAGAGGGGAGGCAACTTTCACGGGAAATCGTTGATTCGTTCTCGTCTCTCCATCTTTCGGATGGACGAGGAGACAATAGTTTCTGTGGCTTTGGAAAGGGCACGATTTCATAGCTCGCTATAGTGCCTCCTGCCAGCTGTGGGGAATCCAACCGTATCAAGCGTCCATGATTAGATAAATTCTGGCGTTCTTTTTTCGGGTGGCTTTTCCCTGAACCCCATGAATTTCCCTCCATCACTCCTCGCTGTATACCCTATCGACATATATAAATAGGAGGCTAATCTACCCGAGAGCCATACCAGGAGTTTTCTAAGAAGGATGAATGGAATTTTATGGTTGAGGTGTCGATCGAAAGCTGAAGACCATACTTAGGGAGCACATCATGATGTCCCGCACTCGACCCAAAACTCCATTGCCTTGTGAGCCTCGTGAGCCCAACAAGCGGAACGTGTCGACCTGATCAGGCCGGTCAGCCGGCCACTTAGCTCATCGGACCGATTCGCAACCGGCTTAGGCCTCTAAGCTCAGAACTAATGAAGTATTCGTTTGCACACAATTGGAAACTTCAACGCCTATGTTTCAGCCCAAGGAAGAGCAGACAGTAAACGAAAGCAGCCGGGTGAGCTGTCGGCCATCCCGTGCGGGCACGGACTTTCCCACTCATACAATATATACTGTATACAGGTGATACTAGAACCAGGTAAACTGGCTGCAAATCGGAGAAAACAAAGAGCTCTTTAGTCGCATCATGAGTCATCATTACCTTCCAGCTGCCATGCTCTTCATTTCCTCTATATCTGACAGGAA